ATAGTTCATTTCGGTAGAGTTGACTTGATTTCGTTCTTTTATATCAATATCGGAATCGGATGAGCACATTCCTATGACCATTTCCTAAATTTAATAGACATCGCCTTGCTGAAAACTGGGAATTTCGGGAATAAGTTCGAAAAGCTTGAAGCTTGATTTAATCATATCGTGACCTACATATCGTGCAGTACATATTACTTTTAATTTCCTATTTGTAGGCAAACAGAACGAGCGGAGTTTACACTCATGGTGATGCAGATAAAAAATATATATGTTTTATAAGGCGTGATAATAATGTACTCTTTATGCCTTATAACTTGTATACAAGTTCCACATCATTTTATTGAAAGAAGTAGCACACACAAGCGAATAAACAAAAAACGTTTTCGATCAAATTTTTGTTATCGTTTAGTGACTCTATGTTCACATCTACAGATTTTTGACTCAAAGCTACACAAGTAAAGCGAAACGTTTTTAAACCAAAGTTGTTTTTGTGGTTTTAATTATCATTTCAAGAGAACGACAGATTTCTTTATAGTGTTAGAAGTCTTGTTAGTAGTTTGCTATCTATCATTTGTAGATTGTTTTATGTCACAAGGGCAGAGACGGGTAGAAAATGTAAACCAATCGTATCCTAAGCAATATCACCTTTTCACAGTGGCTTGTTACGTCCATTTACAAACCGATCATCTTTTAGTCTTAAATATCCTTATAACTCTTCTTGACCGCTATCGCGCCTGCACATATGGGAGATATTCCCTGAGTTATACATATGTAAGTATATAAACTTCATAGAGAAACGTCAAAGTTACAAGCATTTTTTTCTTAATGTCTTTCGTGGCTTAGTGGTAACGAAATTGAAATTGGAGAATTTTATCTTAATTATTGTTTCAGAATATCAGATTTGATATAAAATCGTACAAACTATGCCAAGGAAACATATTTGTTTCTTTCTTTTATCGCTAATGATCGAACGCAGCGCAAAAAACACTTAAAGATTTCTTGTTCTAGTCGATGTTCAAACATCGTAATCAGACTGATCGTGAGCGTGTGTAAATATGTAATGTGCAGTTATGAAATTTTCTTTTTGCAGACCTCTAAGGATTGCTTAACCTCTCGGGAGAGATGAAAGGAATAAAAGGAAAATTTGTTTTTCCTCGCAGTCGCGATAAGATGCCATTATTTATATTAATCAGGGATATAAGCATAATTTGCCGCCTGCCACCAAATATATATCTGTATGTTACGAACATTTGAGTTAAGTAATAAGTGTACCGCCCCCTTGCAATGATGGATGTATACAAACGTCAGCGAAAATATTTATAAAGCAAAAGGAAAAAATACATATATATATATTGTTTTTTTATTTTTTTGAAATTTTTAAATTTGAACGTAACGTAATGTTTGCACACAGTGGCAGCTAGAAGACGGCAATGGTCGGTTGGCCGCACTGTAATGGTAAGAATTTCAATAAAACAGGAATGGGCAGTTTTAAGGCTTTTTCTATTATATTATTACTGGCTTAGCTCAGTTTATGCGAATGGGCGAACACCTTGCCAGCCGAAGGCATTGTGCTAAAGAGTTTTGTTGCTTTTGTTATTTTTTCGATATGCATGTATATATATGTATATGTATATATATAAATATTGCTGTGATTGACGATGAATGGTGTTGCACTTGATAGCAACTTTACACGGTGAGGTAAGCTGCGCAACCAAAGCATTCCTTGAGGTGCGTTTTGTTTATAACGAGACCATAATAAAGTTTAACTGAAATTGAAAATATGTTGATAAAAAGCAGCAACAACAATAATACAACATTCAAGTGAAAACCTTCAAGCAGAAAGAAAACGAACAGCTTTATAAAATGTTGTTAGTTTTCTTAAAATGTTAACCCCGCTGAGGTCTGCTTAACGATCGGCCATTAAGTCCTATAAAAATGCCGCTTTGTGTTCAATTGCATTTGTGTTGTATTTTTTTCTTTTTTTCTAATTTATTTATTTTTATTTTTTCTTTTTTATTTTTTTTTTTGTAGTTTTTGTTCACGCAAAACAAAAATGTTGCATTCACCTTCTAAGGTTTTCACTAATGAAGTTATTTATCTCTATACAAACTTAGGCGAATTTTTAACGCAAGCCGTCAGTTACTTATATAATGTATTGACAAACATATGATCATAATCTCGCTGTAGAATTATTTATTATTATTAATAATAAAAGTAAAAATTTTATATGCATTTTGTAGACGATAGGTATGTTTCTTTGTTTGTTTTTTTCATTGTTTGTTTTGTTTGTTTATATAATTTTTATTTTAACCGGTCTTTTGATTCTCTTTTTATTTTTTCATTTTTTTTTTTTTGCTTTTCATTATTTTTTTTTTTTTTTTTCTTGTTTTCTCATTTTCATTTCATTCAAGTAGTGTTTATATACTTTTGCTAAATTACTTGTTAATTAAATGTCTACATAAAAATTGTGTGTCCAACTCGCGCAGAGAGTTCATTTAATTGCTACTAATCTTCAAAACACTGTTCATGCGTATTTACATGCGTATGTATGTGTGTGTGTGTGTGTGTGTGTGTGTTATGCGATTATATACCTATACATCAACGCATGATTGACTAAGTTTCATATCACGACCGTAAGTTTTATTTGCCTGCTTGCGTTTTGGTCAATGCAGTCAGTTTGAATTCCTTTCCAATTAATGTTATTCGCAGCAGCAGCAGCAGAAGTAGTTGCTAGTTGTCGTCATTATTATTGCTGTTGTTGTTGTTTTCTTTAATTGACACACTTTTGTATAACATAACATGTTTAAAGCGTCGACACCCATTAAAAAAAAATTTTGTTTTTATTTTTTTTTATTTTTTTTTTTTAAATAAAATAATAACAAAACGCCCCTACACTTTTCACTTGGATCACACTTCAGCTTACATAACTTCAAAATGCATTTGAAATGTAATTAAGAATTACATGCGTGAATGGACTTACAGTCAAAACTAATCAAGAATACTATTTTTATTAATCGGTTATAAATGTGCAAACAAAGTAATTTCAATTTTCTTAAGGTTAAAGCATTCACACAGTATTTATAAATTTTCAGCTTTTGGTTTGGTCGACGTCCCAAAGAAGATATTATTTAATCTGCTTTTCTAATTCAATCATAAGAAACGTTCTACGGCCAAAATCCCGCTTTGGTTGACATGGGAAAATGGGGATATGGTCTCTTAGGTGGTCGGCGTTAATGATCCCTTACATTTTGCCAACAAAATAAGAAACTACGTAGAACACCTTTCGCCACTCATCTACCCATTTTCAGGGATTAAGTATAAAGCTTTTCCTTAAACGACCCTAAAGCAAAGCTTTTGTTAGCTTCCTTCGCAAACTCTTTAATAGTTTCATTCTTGCTTGTTCGTGGGTCTATTTCCTTTAGAGTTTTTTCCTCACATTAATCGCCAGTGCATAAGCAGAAAAATCCAGATCTAACTCGAGTTAGTAAGTCTTCTATAATACAAGAAACGAAAAACCGGCCCATGTTACACACGCAGGAGACCTACGCCAAATTGGTTGCGAAAGTACGAAAAAACATACTACGGCGCGTAACTGTTCAGAGGGAAGCAATACAAAGCATTTATGACATTAGTTGATTGCTTTTTTTTGATATGACCCATTCAATCAGGGGACGATCAAAAAGTCAAATGCATAATTCATTTCTTATCAGTATGTACAAAAGGAGAATGAGAGGTATCTACTTAGCAACCTTTGTATGCATATTGCAAAGAATGAAATCACGCGAGTCAAGGATTGACGCCTTGAGACGAATTATGTTGAATTGAGTAGTCTTGCTAATAACGAAGATTAGTCAAGGCCAACTGCACGTGATCGCTTCAAGCACTTGATCGAAAATAAATAATAAAAGTCGTTAAATTGTTTACAAAGAGGACGGAAAGCGAAAAATATGCCATAATAACTCATAGACTGCGACAACCAAAGAGGAATCCTAAAATCAAGCCTGCCAAGCAATATTCTGTTGACCAAGTTTCCGTAAAATCCCTAATCCAAGAACCTACCTTCTGCATTCAAGAGTCGGTAAATGTATCAAAAGTCGAACGTTGTTCATAATGGAGGTAATGTTCTATTAGTATCTCATCGCACTCCTCTCAAGGCAAACAAAAGAAATTGTTTCCTTCAACCATGTGAATGCAATAATTGCAACTTAGAGACCAAATGAGAGACGCAAGGTCACCTAACGGCCTTGCCAAATCCGTGCGGGGTTATAAGGGTCATCAAAGTCCTTCGACCACAACGACTCCAAACGCCTGCCATCTAACTTATAATCAAAATTGATATTGATAGTGGACACTTTGCTTAACGATTTAAACTAACGGTTATTTATATTCCACTACGTAGCATTTACCTTACACCATTCCGTCAGTAAAAATAAATCGGACTCCAGAAGATGGAAACTTTCGAGAGAAAAAGTTTAACATCGCCAGCTTACATTAGTACTCTCGAATATTGGCAAATCCTCTAGAAATAAACAAAAGGACAGCGTGCCTGTATGGCTCTCCCGCGAAACACGACAGTTCATCATTATATGCTCAGACACGTGTGACCAATTTACGAGGCCATGACTAAAGTCAATTTTATTTAACTTGAAAATTAGTAACTCATGACTAACTTTAGCAAACGCCTTATTAAAGTCAGTGTAAATAACAATGTCTCTGTAATTCTCAATTGACTGCCAGAAACTTACTAACTCTTTCTTTGTGATAAAACGCAAAAGCCTTACTTTTGTAACAGACTCGCTTTCGAATACTGATGTTTTCAACCTCTTTTACCAGTTAACGCATTATTGCAAAAAATTCGATATCAGTGAAAATGCTTTCGAAACCATATGCGCATACTGTTACCGTAAAAACAAATTTTTTTTGACAGTTGAAAAACAGTTGCGTTGAGGAAACAGAGAAAGAAAGAAAAGAAAAAAAAAACAAAGAGATTAAAAAGTATTTAAGTATTAGCTAACGATAGGAGGCATTCAGAAGTCAATGAATATCGCGGCAGTCAGTCTTCTTTTGGTTTTCATCATCTCAACAAGTTTAGCTTCTGGTAAGACTATAATTAATTGCTCTACGACTTGTTCCAATGAATATCGGCCCATATGTGCTGAGATTGAGCGACCACGTCGGGGTCGTTGCACTTTTCCGAATAGATGCGTGCTTGCGCGACGTCAGTGTAGGCGACCCATCGAAGGTAGGTAAAAAAAAAAAAAACCAAACAAAATAATAATATTTCATTTAATTAAACATAAATTCTTGGGATAACTTTATTTTTATTATGTTTTCTTTTTTACGAATTGACTCTTTAGTCTGGCGCATTATGATAATTGGCACCTGTCCAATAGCATCAAAATTTTGTGATCGTTTTATGGAAATGACTCCTTAAATTTTTAATATAAAAATGTATTTAAAATTTTTTACTTAACATTGAGATTCAAATAAATAAAAAATATATTAATTATCTCATCTCATAAATGATTTTTGTGCTTCTCCGGTCATAGATGACACTACAGACTTTATTTTCACCTTTAAATCGAGACAGATATACGCGTTCGCATTTAAGGAAATGCTTCATGCTAGTGCCTTTGTCCGTCAATTGTTCGATTGCTTATAGTTACAAGATGTCAGTCAGACAATTGAGACTGGGATCTCTTACGTTTTCAGTGCACGCCCAAGAATCAAATTTAAAAATGGGTGCAATGCAATTTTCAAACGGTCCAATCTGCAGGTTGGTGCGAGAATATCGTAAGGCTAACTAAGCAGGCAGCGCAAGAGTAATGCCGATTTGCAAACTAATATAATATTTTGCAGTACGAGGTCTAAAGAAGAATTTGCATAATTTGTAAACATTATGATCCTATGAAAATAACGCTATTCACAGTCAAAATTTTCTCCGTGTACTAGTTAATCTAAGACATTGTGATGGCTATAATCTTTGCGTCATTTGTACTCTATACGCACTGACATAAATGTCGGTGTTGGCTGTGCGATGTCTGAATTTATTGACTATGAAAGCCAATCTAGTACCGAGTCGACACATTTAAGCACAAATTTGCGATTGCTTGTTTCCAAGAAGCGGAAATTGCCTTTCAGAAGGCATATAAGTGAATACTTATTAAAAATGAAAGATTTAAATAAACACTTGGACCTGCCGAGATAAGTCAACTAAGCTAAAATATTTTCTTATGAATTTCTTCGCATGTTAATAAAAAAAAGAGAAAATATGTATGTATATGTATAGAGAATTAATTACGGAATATAAGTGGAATTCTGCTCCGAATAGATCGATTGCAAGAATGCAAAAAAGATATTCAGTTTAAGTGGAATGCGAAGTATCCTGTTTATCGCTTTTCTTTAAACGGCAATTTTTTTCCTCCTTTTATATACCATTATTTATTTATTTATTTAAGAATTCAGAAAAAACACAAAGCCCTTAAAGAGCCAGTTTAAAGTATTGAAGCAACTACAGTTAACACGCTGTACACTTCCCACTGAATCAATAAAAATTCAAACTGGAGCTAGGTATATAGAAGGAATAACAATCCAAACTTCAATATAAGAGTATAAAATATCAAATAAGCACAAAGGCAGTAAATGATTCCATTTATCCAAAAAAAAGCTAACCCTATGTAGACTGCAATAAACAATTTCCAATTTGGTTCCTCAGCCTGAGAAAAAAAAAAAATTCAAACTTATGTTAAAATATTCAGCAATAAGTCCCTCAGTGGTAGCATACCTTCTTTCTCCTACTCTCATAATCCAACATATTCAGGTAATAGATCCCCCGGTACTGTAGGCGAATAACATAGTATCAACTATACAACAGTGGCGAGATACCTAACTAATTTAACTTGCAAGGCGTTATTAGAGTGAGAAAAAATGTGTTGGTCAAGAGGTAAATAGTTCCAGCAACGCGCAAAGGCAAAAATCATACCCTTAGATTTAGTCAGGTTAATCAGCAAGTAATTATCTAAAGCCCAACCCCAGAATGATTGTAGGCTCGCATTGATTATCTACCCAAACGCCTTCCAATCACAACTCTCTCTGCTAAATAGTAGAAATATATCATCCGCAAATAGATAGACTTGTAATGAATCATTTTTAATAAAATTTCTAAATAAAATTTACAAGAATGCTAAGCGACAGATAGGTATTGAACGCTCAGTTTTCTGCCGGCAATGAATTGGTTAACTCAGTAGTCCAAATTGAACGCACTTGGGTGATGTTTGTTTACATTCAACTGTATCCATCTTCTTCCAAGCTGCAAAATTATGTAAATATTTGAATTAATACCGAGCAATGTTTGACAATGTTCGCCTAGGGGCGAAGCTTTCCTACCCTCCTCCAACTACCTACCTCCAACTATTAAGAAATACACAGATGCCGGTACACTCAAGAGATATCTTTTACGTGGGCTGAAGCAAGCTTCTGGTAAACTTTGCGCTTCATCAGAATTTGTACTTTGAATTTAAATATAATCACATTTCACGGATACATTGCGCTTTTACTCGTCATTCTGAAAAATCCTAGTGCAGTACGGCGTCTCTAATGGCTTTTTGAAGAGAGAAAAATTCTAGAAACCGATCATTCTCCGATCAGAGGCATAACAATGAAGAAAGCCCTCTTCGTCGTCAGGACTATTAATATCTGCAAGTTATTGGTGGAAATTTAGAAAATATTCTTTCGTTCAGTTTGCGGGCGCTCCACAACACTGTACGAACTACATTTCAATTTTCCAAATACGCGCAGCAAACGGACAGAGGCACACATAAAGTCATTCAACTAGACGGGCACTACGGATTTCGACGAGATAGGTCGCTTTATTATTGTTCCGTATTAACCAAAACCAATCAATATCCGGTAGTATGTATACGAATATGTAGGCTTTAAAGGGCTTGTCTGATATATTTCTTAATATTATTTAACCGGAGCAATTTGCGTAGTTTTCGGTGGTGGATATAAAAAAAATTACACAAAAAAAATTATACAAGTTTTGCTTACTTTCTCCGAACAAACATTTCCTTTGTAACATTTGACAATCATTGGCAAAAACACACTTAACTGTTGTGCCGCACATCAATGTTATCATTCCGCACTGTTTCTGCGTGGGAACATCGGCACAGCTTTCACAGTCCTTGGACTGGACTCTAAGCAAACAAACAGCTAAAGCGAAAACAATTGTAAGTACAATACGAGCAGCTTGACTTGACATCTTCGTGTGGATCTAACTTTGTTAATGAAAAATTTCACTCTATTTATAGGGAAAATTTGTCATTGCAAAGAAAAAACAGGTAAGAAAATTATATTCGGATTTGGCCGAATCTTCTATGCTCACCATCTTCGTGTCCAAAAAAAAAAAAGGCTTAAAACAATATGAAGCAAATTAAATTGAATGAAGACATTCTTGTGCAGCTAGCTTAGGATTATACTTATATAAGTGTACGTAAGTAAAATTTTTCATTAGTGCCTCTGTTGTGTGTTGTGAGAGAGAATCAAACTTTTTTACTTTTAAAAAGGAACGCCAGGCGTGGTCCTTAGTCAATTTGGCTCATTTTCAAAATGAAACTATAAGCAAGAACTTCTAAATTTGAAACTGATACCCATCGGAATAACGTGTACCGTCATAGATGGACTACTATATGAACGGACAGGCGGACATGCCTAAGTCGATACTGAGGAAGAATTAGTCTCTGTAGCTTCCTTCTGCGTGTTGCAAACGTTTCGACAAACTGAACGTACCTCAACCCTTCGGTGGTGGCTTAAAAAAAACACTTGATTTTTAAATATTCATATTTTCATGTGTAAAGATTAACGCGATGGATTTGGAGAAACGAAACAACTTTCGAGTGATTTTGTTGTAAATTGAGTGGACGTTTAGAAACGAAAAGCAATTTAAATTTTATCTTAAACTTGACTAAACATCTGTCGTCTTCCAAGAAGTGAATAAGAATTTAGAAACGTTTATGTTTCTTATTTCAAGATATGAGAAGAACAAATGAGACAAACGAGACCTGCATTACTCTTTCTAATACTCGCATAAATTCTATGCACCTATAAGAGATTATATAAATAGATTACTACAATGTATAAATGTGAGCAACAACTCGATAGCATTTGAAGCTTCTCCAAATAATTTGATATATTCTTCTTCTTGTTGAGAAACTTGATTTTTCACTGGTTTCGCTTGCAAGAGTAAAAATGGTTAACCCATCTCTCAACTAGATTTAAGTCAATTATTTGTACTAATGTATGCGGCTCAAAATCGTGCCCGATCTTTATCTCACGCCTAGGGTTAGAGTGCTTATATTGGCAGAAAACCGCAGACAGCCACAAATATTTGAATATAAATCTAGAGGAGAAATAAGTTCGGCAATAAGTTGGCGAGGTCATATATTTTTTGTTGCTGACCGCTGAAGCGATCGTGAATATTGATCTTTTGTTGTAGTCTTTTAAGGTAACAGGACTGCGATTTTTATTTATTTACTTACACATGAAATTCAGCTAAAGCAACCTAACAGCCGAACTCAATCGATCCTTAGATGTAAATCTGGTTCTAGTTATTATTAAAGACTAATACAATGTATATAAGGAAAAGCAAAGAAAAACAAACATTAATAAGAAATAATTAATTAAGATAAACTGCCTAAAGAAGAGATTAGGAACATTAAAGCTTAATATTACCTTTTATTAACTTAGCTAAGAAGAAACTTCAAGAGTAAATCTATGTTTCTCAAGTGATGGTAAGGATAACAGGAACAACCTTTTTCAGAGATACAAGGGTAACCCAAATTGAATCTACATAACGCCTATAGGAAGCAGACCAAGCAACAGAGGCAAGCTCAAGTATCGGCCTAATTAAGTACATGTATAGTCCTTTTGTGATGTAAGGATGCTTAAGCTCTAAAACCTAGCGCCGACCTAGCTTTGCTTACAGAAAATTCAATGTGCAAATTAAAACGTAATCTTTGGTCCCTTAAATCGGGAACGGTCCCATACAGCTCTTCATATATCGATTTTCTAAAAGTGGTTCGGTTCGAAACTCCATTCGGCCAAAAAGAGAAGGACCAGGTGAAATGGATGCAAAAAGGGGATTCGGGCATAGTGAACGGTCAAGCCCTTCTGGATCTTGCACACATCCCCACAAACTTAGCTACCCTTGAACCATAAATTATACAGTTAGGGTATAAAAATATAAATTGAATGTTTCATGATTTCACATTCTGCTGGTGTTTTGTTGTTTGCCTTGCTTGCCTTCGCGGCATTTCCGATAGGTTTAGAATAAGTGGGGCATCTGACTCGATTCCCTAAATATTTTTTTTCCTTCTTGGTGTTAGGCGATTCGAACTAACTTTTCGAGTGTGTAGCGCAGGCTACGTGTGCGCTATTTAGCGAGCAATGTCGTAAAGTGAATTAGTTTTTAAATTGAAATTTTTGGTTATACAGTAATTATAGTATTTTTCAATTAGTGCATTATAACATAACGTTTATTTGAATTTCTTTTAAAATCTGTTTTGTAATCGCGAAACGGTTTGAACAAAACTTATAAACTCAAGTACTTCAAGTATCAAATTGGTCGACATTCGCCTTTATTTACAGCAACTTTACAAACACTAGTTTTTATTCAGATTCGTTATGCTTACTACATATTTCACTGTAGACGTAGCGATCTTAGTTTTTCTATTCCAAAATACGGGGCAATTAATACGAATCACCAAAAATATTTTACAGAATTGAAAAGAAGCACCTTAACACAAAAAACATTTTAAACAGATCATGGGAAGGGAGGTTAAGTAGAACTTCTCTTTGGGGCAATAATGCAAGGTGTTACACATAGAAGATATTGCATATAATCATGTAGCCAGACGTGCTATCTTATTACTTTTAATTACAAATCTGTTTATCTTGTGCCCTGTAAACTGTATTTTCCCAATCTCTCCCAACTCTATATATAAATAAGGGCTTTTAGTAAGTCAAAGTAAAGGCAGAGAAGATTTTGCCTAGATTTTGAACAAAAGTGTTAACTACAATTCTATCGGACTTTTACTTAGTCCTTGACAGGGTAGGCAGTAGCGATATCATCGATAGACCCATCGATAGACCATCACGACACCATAAAATATCGCCTAAAAAGGCTTTTGGTCTTTGCAATAAACATATGGAAGCAATGTATCGCGAGAAACTGTGATCAATCTGTAGAGTATTTTGCATTGAGAGTTGATCCCGATTCAATAGCGAACTCTATATGGTAATTTTCTTCTCCCTTTTAAA